TCAAGCGATTCTCCTGTCTCATTTTTTTTTTTTTTTTTAATTACAGGTGCATGGCACCACGCCCAGCTAATTTTTTGTTTTTTTTTTTTTTTTTTGTTTCACCATGTTGGCCAGGCTAGTCTTGAACTCCTGACCTTTTTTTTTTTTTTTTTCTCAGCCTCCCAAAGTGCTGGGATTACAGGAGTAAGCCACTTTTTTTTTTTTTTTTTTTCTTTCTAGGGTGGAAGGCTGTGAGTCTGTGACATCACGGGGATATTCTTGGGTTGGTTATTTGTAAGAGCAATGAAGGGACTTTGTACCCTTCAGTTTTTTTTTTTTTTTTTGGACTGGGGAGTTGAGGGATTGAATGCATTCACACCAGAGAGTCCCCCTCAGCCCAGACGCTGCCGGTCCTCTCTGAGGCTGTGCACTAGGTGGGCGTTTTTTTTTTTTTTTTTGAAGAAATGGCGGCTCAGAGGGAAGGAGACACTTGCCCAGTTTTTTTTTTTTTTTTTACTTGATTTCGACTTGACAAATTTCTCAGTATGTAGTGGGTTTTTTTTTTTTTTTTTGGTAATGAGAACTTTTCCTTTTCTTTTTTTTGGAGGGGGGTTTTTTTTTTTTTTTTTTCTGTCACCCAGGCGGGAGTGTAGTGGTGCTATCTTGGCTTTTTTTTTTTTTTTTTTACCCCACCCCCAGGTTCAAGCAATTCTTGTGCCTCAGCCTTTTTTTTTTTTTTTTTTACAGGTGCATGCCACCACACTGGGCTAGTTTTTGTATTTTTTTTTTTTTTTTTTTTTCACCATGTTTCATGTTTCACCATGTTGGCCAGGCTGGTCTTTTTTTTTTTTTTTTTTGTGATCCGCCCACCTCAGTCTCCCAAAAGTGCCGGGATTATTTTTTTTTTTTTTTTTGCCCGGCCGAGAAGTTTTTCTGATTAAAAAAAATTTTTAAGGCACACACTTCAGACAGTGACTGTGAAGGAACCCTGATGTGTATCTAAACTGTTGCTTTTTTTTTTTTTTTTTATTACTTACCCTGTGCTAAGTGCTGTCATGCATTACATCATTTTTTTTTTTTTTTTTCCTATGAGGTGGAGTCTGCATCAGGCCTCTTTTCAACAAGCACACCAATAATGTGGGAGATGATGTACCTTGCCCAAGCCCCCAGCAGGTAAGTGGTTTTTTTTTTTTTTTTTTAGGTCACCTGAGTCCATATGGGCTCTTAGCCCCACTCTGCCTGGCTGCCTGCTGTTCCATGAAGCCAACCCTGGACCTAGACCTGGACCTGGATCGTTTTTTTTTTTTTTTTTTTGTGCTTCCCAGGCTGCCTTGTGGCAGGTGGATGGTGCCCTTTTTTTTTTTTTTTTTACCATCTGGCCACACATCTTGATGGGTCCAAAGGTCTGGGTTTTTTTTTTTTTTTTTCTGGCAGCCAGAGCAGTGACTCAGAGCTGTCGGCCTCAGCTTTTTTTTTTTTTTTTTAGGGCAGGGGCTTGGATTGGGGTCTGCCCTATTTGGGGCATTTTTTTTTTTTTTTTTTGACTCCCATGGCCTGAGGCAGAGTGGGGAGCCTGGAGCCTTGGGTGGGGTCACCTGCCTCGCCTCTTACCAGTTAAGCCACAAGTGATAACTAGTGTTTTTTTTTTTTTTTTTGGAATTTGATGGCCGTGGCAGGAAAGTCAGGGGCAAGAATTTTTTTTTTTTTTTTTTCTAATATCCCGGTTCTGCCACCTTCTGTAATCTTGGGTGGTTTTTTTTTTTTTTTTTGTGTCTCTTTTCCCATCTGTAATAGGGGAAAAAAATCATCTTTTTTTTTTTTTTTTTGATTAAATGAGGTGATATTAGTAGTAATAATGCAATGGTCTTTTTTTTTTTTTTTTTAAAACTAACATTCATTGAGACCTTACTGTTTTGGGCACTGTTTTTTTTTTTTTTTTTGCGTGATTTCATTACATCCTCACCACCACCTTCCCAGGTATTTTTTTTTTTTTTTTTGCAATTTCCAGATAAGGAAACAGTCTTAGAGGGGTTATGTTTTTTTTTTTTTTTTTTTTGAACCCATTTGTGAGTATATAGTAGGTAAACAAAAATATTTTTTTTTTTTTTTTTAATTGTAGCCGGGCACAGTGGCTCACACCTGTAATCCCAGTTTTTTTTTTTTTTTTTACGGGTGGATCACCTGAGGTCAGGAGTTCAAAACCAGCCTGGCCAACATGGTGAAACCCCATCTCACTAAAAATACAAAAAATTAGCCAGGCACGGTGGCGCATGCCTGTAATCCCAGCTACTCTGGAGGCAGAGGCAGGAGAATTGCTTGAACTTTTTTTTTTTTTTTTTCAGAGAGCCAAGATTGCGCCACTGCACTCCAGCCTGGGCATTTTTTTTTTTTTTTTTTCTCAAAAAAAAAAAAAAAAAAAAAAATTGAACCCAGCTGTTTTTTTTTTTTTTTTTCTGGTCTCTTAACCCCTGCATTGTAATAGTCATATCAAGTTTTTTTTTTTTTTTTTTGCCTCCTTTCCTCAGAAACACTTCTCAAAAAGAGGAAAAGTTTTTTTTTTTTTTTTTCTCAGAACTGCATCATAGCTCATAGCTCCCAGAACCTGCTTTTTTTTTTTTTTTTTTTTTTTTTTTTTTTTTTAGATGGAGTCTTGCTCTGTCACCCTTTTTTTTTTTTTTTTTCACGATCTTGGCTCACTGCAACCTCTGCCTCCCGGGTTCATTTTTTTTTTTTTTTTTAGCCTCCTGAGTAGCTGAGATTACAGGCACCTGCCACCGTTTTTTTTTTTTTTTTTTATTTTTAGTAGCAACAGGGTTTCACCATTTTGGCCAGGCTTTTTTTTTTTTTTTTTTCTGGTGATCTACCCACCTCAGCCTCCCAAAGTGCTGGGATTTTTTTTTTTTTTTTTTATGCCCGGCCTATGCAAATGTTTTAAAATGAATGGATGCTTTTTTTTTTTTTTTTTTATTCCCTTTTTGCTTTGCCTGCTGGGAAGCTCAGAACCTGTTTTTTTTTTTTTTTTTACAATTACCCAGAACTTGAAGGCAAATATATATATAATTCTTTTTTTTTTTTTTTTTCAAGATCTCGTTATGTTGTCTGGGCTGGAGTGCAGTAGCTTTTTTTTTTTTTTTTTTCACTACTGAGCAGCACCTGAGTTTTGACCTGCTCCGTTTCTGACCTGGGCTGGTTCACCCCTTCTGAGGCAACCTAGTGGTCCTCCGCTCCTTGGCGTTTTTTTTTTTTTTTTTGAATTTAGTGTGGACACCCTGTCAACATAGTGCACTACAGTTTTTTTTTTTTTTTTTCAAGCCACCCTCCTGCTGCAGCCTCCCAAGTAGCTGGGACTACAGGTACACACCACTGCCCCCAGCTCAAGACAAGTATTTTGTGGCCTCAATTCAGTTTTTTTTTTTTTTTTTTTTTCTCACTTGGCTTCCCTTCATCTGGGCTTCTTCTCCTTTTTTTTTTTTTTTTTTATATATTTTGTTAATATGTTTTACATTTGGAGAGTTGGGATTTTTTTTTTTTTTTTTCCTGACTATAGCAACTGCCTGATACACAGTCACACATCCCTTAACAACGGGACACCTTCTGGGAAATGTGTCATCGGGCAATTTCGTCGTTGTGTGATTTTTTTTTTTTTTTTTACACAAACCTAGATGGTACCACTTACTACCCACCTAGGCTGTATGCCACCAGCTCTCCTCCTTGGCTGCTAACCTGTGCAGCCTGGGACTGAACCACTTTTTTTTTTTTTTTTTAACGCAGTGGTAAGTGTTTGTGCATCTAAACACAGAAAAATTTTTTTTTTTTTTTTTATTATACTCTCATGGGACCACTATTGTATGTGTGGTTCGTTTTTTTTTTTTTTTTTTATATATGGTGCATGACTATGTATCTATTGTGAATTAGACATTTTTTTTTTTTTTTTTAAGAGGGCCACCCAATGGTGATGACCCAGTGTTGTGCCTTTTTTTTTTTTTTTTTTTGGTCCCCTTTCTATGTCAACTGTGATGGCTGAGCCAAAGGGAGGATAAGGAGGACTTGTGACTGAGTCCCTGCGGGAGGCCACCACATCGGACAGCGTTTTTTTTTTTTTTTTTAGCCGGGCTCCGTGGCTCATCCCTGTAATCCCAGCACTTTTTTTTTTTTTTTTTTTTGGATCGCCTGAGGTCAGGAGTTCGAAACCAGCCTGGCCAATTTTTTTTTTTTTTTTTTCTACTAAATTAAAAATACAAAAAATTAGCCGGGTGTAGATTTTTTTTTTTTTTTTTTCAGTTGCTCGGGAGGCTGAGGCAGGAGAATCGCTTGAACTTTTTTTTTTTTTTTTTCAGTGAGCTGAGATTGTGCCACTGCACTCCAGCCTGGGCGTTTTTTTTTTTTTTTTTCAAAAATAAATAAATAAAAGGCAGCCTGGGGGTGGATGAATTTTTTTTTTTTTTTTTGATGCCTTTGGAGGGACTCAGTGCGGGGTCGGGTCAGTGTTTTTTTTTTTTTTTTTTGGTTGTCCAGGCTCAGGTAGCCCCCACTCCTCCATGAGAATTTTTTTTTTTTTTTTTTGGCCACACAGTGTTTGATTGTAACACTGTTTCACCACTTTTTTTTTTTTTTTTTTTCCCCTACTTTTCCACAGATCTCCTGTCACTGAAGACTTGTTTTTTTTTTTTTTTTTTGGCTCTGGCATCACCTTCTAACTATCACCGTCCCACCTCCAGCCTGCCCCAGGGCTGGGCCTTGTTCCCAGGTCCTCCGGGCTCAGGGTTGGTCAGGCCCCTTCTCCTGTGGTGTGGGCCTCCAGCCCCAGGAGCACCAGGAGCTCTGGCGCTTTTTTTTTTTTTTTTTTTCCGGGGCTCCCAGCTCTACTCAGTGCCCCATTAGGAGTCATTTTTTTTTTTTTTTTTGTGGTCTCTGGCAGGGTTAATAATTGCTCAGTGGAGGTGGTTTTTTTTTTTTTTTTTGCTGGCCACATAGCTGCAGGCCGCAGAAGGTGCCCAGCTGTTTTTTTTTTTTTTTTTGGCGCCTGCCTGCCACCTCCGTGGCGAAGGGGACACAGGTTTTTTTTTTTTTTTTTTTTGGGAGTCTCTGGGCCAGAGATATTTGGTGGGGGTTGGGTTTTTTTTTTTTTTTTTAGGCAAGCTTGGGGGTCTTTAAAGTCTCCCCTGAAGCTGGTTTTTTTTTTTTTTTTTCTGGATGGGGCAGACCCGGCTGGAGTCCCAGCCTGCTGTGTTTTTTTTTTTTTTTTTAAACGTGGGATAATACCTCCTTCCCTGGGGGCTGATGGCCCCCTTCCCATCCAAGTCCTCGCAGGATGATTCTTCGCAGGATAGAAGGGAGGCAGACTTTTTTTTTTTTTTTTTGAACTGGCCTGGCCCCTTCACAGGATGCTCGGGGGTTGAGGAGGGGAAGCTGACCTGGGCTCTTACCCCAGCTGCTCTGTTCACATCCCAGCTCCACTTTTTTTTTTTTTTTTTACTTCACTCTTCTGGGCCTCCGTTTCCTCATTTATCAAATTTTTTTTTTTTTTTTTTCAGAAAGGGCCTGAAGAGCCCTGAGGTGAAGGTGGGCATGTTTTTTTTTTTTTTTTTCAGTGCCACCTCAGCCAGTACTAGGAAGTGTCAGGCAGGGTTTTTTTTTTTTTTTTTCCAGCTCTGCCCAGTCTGGGCCCTGCACATCTCTCTGCCCTGGTAGAGGAGGTGGGGACCCAGCTGACAGTCGGCGCCACGCTGCATCCCTCAGGCATTTTTTTTTTTTTTTTTGTACCAGGCACAAGGCAGGGTCCCCAGTGAGCACTGAGGTTTTTTTTTTTTTTTTTTGTCATGGCCCGTGTGTAGACTCCATGATTTTTATCCTCACTTTTTTTTTTTTTTTTTGAAACTGAGGCCTGGAGAGGGGAGAGGGCTTGCCTGGAGTTTTTTTTTTTTTTTTTTAAATGCTGGCATCCGAACCTAGGGCCGTTTGACTCTGTATTTTTTTTTTTTTTTTTTTGGCCTGGGCCATAGGCACTGGGAAGGCCTGTGGCGGGGAGCTGGTGTTCAGGTTCCACATCCTTGCTCCGCGCACCCAGGTTCAGCTGGAGTCCGCTTTTTTTTTTTTTTTTTGGCCTCCTGGATCAACGGAGCCCAGACCAAGGCTTGCCCATTTTTTTTTTTTTTTTTAGGCAACCTGGGTCTAACCTGCTGCCCCTGGCTCACCCATTTTTTTTTTTTTTTTTTCCTTGGTTTCCTTGGAATAATAGGATAGGATAATTCCTGCTTTTTTTTTTTTTTTTTAAGTCAATGAAAAAGCAGAAGTGAAAGTGCATGGCGAGCTTTTTTTTTTTTTTTTTTGGTGCTGGGGGAGCTCTTTAGCATCGTGACTGATTGCACCTTTTTTTTTTTTTTTTTTGAAGGAGTACCCACCTCCCCACCCTGACCCTCCTGGAGGCCCTGGGAAGTCCGGGTATCCTCACTCCCAGTGGTTCCAAATTCTAGAAAATCTTGGTTTTTTTTTTTTTTTTTAGATGCGGCTGAAGCCCCCTCCTAGCCAAGGCTGAAGAGCTTTTTTTTTTTTTTTTTGGTGGGACTAGTGAGGGTTCCTGGAGACTACACATCTCATTTTTTTTTTTTTTTTTTCTCCCTGATTCTCCTGTGTCCTTTCTGGTCTTTCCCTAAGTTTTTTTTTTTTTTTTTGGACTCTCACTCTGTCTCCCAGGCTGCAGTGCAATGGCGCCATCTTGGCTCACCGCAACCTCTGCCTCCCTGGTTCAAGGGATTCTCCTGCCTCAGTCTCCTGAGTAGCTAGGATTACAGGCACACACCACCACACCCAGCTAATGTGTGTGTGTCTGTGTGTGTCTGTGTGTGTGTGTGTGTGACGGAGTCTCGCTTGTCGCCCAGGCTCGAGTGCAGTGGCGCGATCTCAGTTCACTGCAACCTCTGCCTCTTTGGTTCAAGTGATTTTTTTTTTTTTTTTTTCTGAGTAGCTGGGATTACAGGTGTGCACCATGATGCCTGGTTTTTTTTTTTTTTTTTAGTAGAGACGGGGTTTCACTATGTTGGTCAGTTTGGTTCATTTTTTTTTTTTTTTTTCGGAAAGAACAGGAGTGGCCAGAGGGCTTGGGAACAAGGATTTTTTTTTTTTTTTTTTGTAGATGACCCCCATTTTAATTTATTTTATTTTATTTTTTTTTTTTTTTTTTTTTTCTTGCTCTGTCGCCCAGGCTGGAGTGCAGTGGCGCGATCTTTTTTTTTTTTTTTTTTCGCCTCCCAGGTTCACGCCATTCTCCTGCCTCAGCCTCCTTTTTTTTTTTTTTTTTTGGCACCCGCCACAACGCCTGGCTAAGTTTTTTTTTTTTCTTTTTTTTTTTTTTTTTTTTTTTCTTTTTTTGTGTTTTTAGTAGAGACAGGGTTTCACCGTGTTAGCCAGGATGGTCTCGATCTCCTGACCTTGTGATCTGCCCACCTCAGCCTCTTTTTTTTTTTTTTTTTCCCAAGGTGGCGTGAGCCACCGGCCCAGCCAATAGTTCCCTTTTTTTTTTTTTTTTTGAGAGGGAATCTCTCTCTGTCGCCCAGGCTGGAGTGCCGGCTCACTGCAAGCTCCGCCTCCCGGGTTTAGGCCGTTCTCCTGCCTCAGCCTCCCGAGTAGCTGGGACTACAGGCGCCCACCACCACGCCAGGCTAGTTTTTTTGTGTTTTTTTAGTAGAGACGGGGTTTCACCGTGTTAGCCAGGATGGTCTCGATCTCCTGACCTCGTGATCCGCCCGCCTCGGCCTCCCAAAGTGCTGGGATTACAGGCGTGAACCACCGCGCCTGGCCAGTTCCCATTTTTTAAAAAAGCAAACAGAGAAAAGGGCCCGGGGGCGTGGTTGTGCAGTGACTGGGGCCTCGTTTCACACCCATGCATCGGCCTGAGGCTGCTCCAGCAGGGAGAAGTGGGTGTCTGTCCGCAAGTCCCAGCCCAGGGGCAACTCCATTCACTCCTTTTCCATTTTGCCCCTTGCTCCTGCCCCTTGCTGGGGTACCAGGAAATTAGGAGCCCAGAGAGGGGGCCACCAACTGCCTGAACACAGCTCCATAGCTGACCTGGGCCTTACAGAACGGAGAGAATTTGCACATAGGCAGAAGGCAAAGAAAGGCATTCTGGGCAGAGGGAACGGTTTAGACAAATGAAGGAGGAAGGAAAATGCAGGGTGTGGACCGAGACCAGGAGCATTCAACACCACTGAACCTCAGAGTGGGAGAGAGCAGCTCGTGTGGAAAGCAAGACCCAGGAACTTAAAGGACCTCGCCCGCCAGGCTGTGGGGGCCTTCCCCAGCCCACACAGACACTGGGCTTTTCCCCAGGTGTCTGAATCCAGAGGCGGATGCTCTGGACTGTAGAACACCAGCCTCACCATGATCATGAGGAGGCAGGACTGCGAGAAACCCAGGGCCAACCCCAGCAGAGCAGGAGGCAGGCGAGGCAGGGATGAGGCAAGAAAGAGCGCTGGCCTGGGGGGCAGACAGGGTGGCACCCCTGCTCTGCCTCTGACACCCTGGGAGCTGCTGGGCAGGAACCCTGGCCTCCTGCGCTCATGTCAGTGTGCATAAAGGGGATCGATAAATCCAGCTCTTCCTTCCAGGGGGCGGCGGGGCCCACATGCGGGGGCAAGACTGCATGTGTGTCACGCAGATGCAAAGGGCTGTCGCTGTTGCTCTGAGTGAGGGTCCACAGGCTTCTCGAGACCCTTCGTCCTGCCCTGTGAAATGGGGAGAGGAGAGTTGGGAGACACTTCCATGAGGGAGGACTGTGGCGAGAATGGGGAAGGGGCTGTAGGGAGAGGCCCCTTGGGGACTGGGTGAAGGTCCTGGTTCGGGCTGTTCTCTCTCAACGTCACATGTCTGTGGGCTCAGCGTGGCTTGTGGGAAAATCGGGCAGCTCAAGAAGGAAAACCCAGGAACCTAGAAAAGAAAGAAGGCACAGGCCTGGCTTGGGTTCTGGTCCCATTACTGGCTGGGCCACGCCCTTTCCCCTCTTGGACCTCAGTTTGCTGAGGATTAAATGGTAATGGGGGCAAAGTGCTAGCCTCAGCATGCGGCCCTTCCTTGCTGGTTCCCATTTGCCTCTGGGATTGGGAGGAGGGACCCTGAGGGCAGGAATCTGCTGTCCTGCAAGCTGGACCCAGGGGAACTTTGTAATGATGATGAATCCATCTTGACGCCTGCTGGCTGCACACCTACTGACTAATTGTCCTGTGGCAGTTGACTCATTGCTGAAGGATAGAACATGAGAGAAAAAAGTGATGAGGGAATTAGGTCCCAGATTACAGCCTCAGAGGGATGCCAGGGCTGCATGCATCCAGCCCCTGGCTGTTCCTCACACCACAGACGCCTGTAATCTAGCATTACCGCTAATGCGCAGCTCACCTGCATCTCCACCGCCAGCCCGCCACCACCACCATATCCCTCCCACAACTGTCACCTCCACCTGCGTCTCCACCTTCATCAGCACACACGTCATCAGCACGTCCATCCCCACTTACCACCACCAGTGCCACCCCTACCCCCGAGGGATCCCTATCCTGATACTGGACCCTGCCTCCATGACCACCTCAGCCACTGCCCTTGACTCCAGCGCTAACCTGTCGCCCTCCAGGGCATAGCTGTAGCCACATCTCTGTCCCTGTCTCACTGAGGATTGTGGCTCAGCACTGCTGGGTATTCTGAGGATTGAGAACTTACTAATTCCCCTGAGCAGAGGGGCACAACTGTATATCAGTCTGGCTGAGTGCAGCCCTGCTGTCCAGCATGTGGGCTGTCCCCAGCTGTCATCTCCAGGGTTCTTGGCAAGCCAGCATTTTCCATAGCAACTTCCCAAAGTTCCCCTGGCTAGAGTCACATGGAAGGTAGCATCAGAAAGAGCCCCAGGGCCCCTCCACACATAGCCCTGGCCCTGCCCATTTAGCTCTGACCTCTGCAAGCAGTCTCAGACCCTGGGGAGCGTGGACGGTCACCAGGGAGGGAGGAAGCTGTTTCTATGGTGATTGCAGTGGGAGGAGCAGGCATAAGGTGAGGACAACCCCATAGAAGGAAGAA